CTTGCTTATATGGTTCCCTCCTCAATGTGTACATGCTGCCAAACCATAAACATATAAATAAATGGGAGGCAATACTTAGTTCCCTCTAGAAGCCGACCAAAGGTCTCAAATCTAGGGCACCACCATCTTGCTTGCACTCTAGCCCTAGAAAATGAATACAAACTGTTATGCTGATGGTATATGGAACCCTGTCACTTTGAATGCTTTGTTCCAGGCCATACAGGACACTGCTGTTGAGGTTGTCCTGATAAGAGAATTATCATGCCTATATGGTGGATGTGCTCTAAAGTGCGAGGTTTGCGGACCCAAGTTGATACGATTATATTGGTCCTGATGGGCACAAACACACCTGCCCACCTGAAAGAGGTGATTATTAACCAACAACTGGAGGGACTCACGGAACATAAGTTGAAACTCATGGTACATGTCCTTATAGCTGCAAAGCTTGGTTGACTGACTCGCTATTGATAGCTGAAGTGAAGCACAAATTACATTGGATATTCAGCAATAAAACTTAGACGATATTGCTAGATGTCATGGCCTAATTTAAAGCAGTGTGGAAGCCATAGATAGGAAGCTTTTTGCCACCATCGTTTAATCAGTGTCTTACTGACCTGCAATTCTTTGCTATCAGTGAGGCTGTGCCAATATATGGGAAAGCCCTCTTCCTCAGGCAAGGGCCTACAATGGCCACCCCCCCTCCCCCCCTCCATTTTTTCCCCAACCCCCTTTTCTACCTTACTTTCCCCTGCTTCTACTATACTTAAGCTATATTTTCTTCTTCTCCATAAGTAGACCATGCTAGGGCAATCACGGTGCCCAAATCTGACTATCGACACATATGCTTGTATTCACAAAATGACACCGTGACAATTATTCCTGATAATTTGATGACAATGCTTCTAGCCATCACTATTGGTTTGTATTACTACATTTCTCTTGCTTCAAATAACTTATTGAAACCAGAAAAAAGTGCTATTGGTTACAGACAGAAACTCAGAGCTTTGTAACATAAAAGTAAATAAGACATTTCCAGAAAAAGTATAACATTATCTTACCTTATCACTGTCTAGTGTATTTTGTGAAGTTCTAGATGCTATTGAAATGGTATCAGGTTGACTGCCATCTCCCTGACTGTCCAAGTCTTCACCATCCCTGAAAATAAAACATTAAGTATTAAATGACTTAGAAAAATAAATTATAATAATGTGTGATCAAGCATATTTTAATTCGCTTACAGTTCATTATGGAAAATGCTTCAAGTGAATTTGTTAAAGTTTATCTAAACTCAAGAAACAAAAATGTTATATATTGCAGCTTACCAGTCCTTAAATGTGGTAATTGAATTAGTTCTCCTTTTCCCCAGGCTTTTTCACCCATTTTGTATCTAGTGATCCCAATAGCAACACACTTCCTATCCTAAGGTGACAATGCTCACTCACCATACTGTATCTGTGTTGAATCAGGGGTGTCACCTTGGGACAGGACTAGAGAAACCTCCTCCTCCTTTTTGATAACCAAGAGTAGAGATGTTTTGTAGTCCTAAGAGATGGCTGGGGATAATGCAACTGATAACAGCCAGCAGAGAGTACAAGACATTTTCAGCTGACAAGATTTCTGACAGGTTTAACACTTGGAGAACAGATATAAAAAAGCACTTTCAATAGGAAGACGTTAGGCCTAGGCTTCAACAACACCTTGTCACTTTAGGGGCCAGAAAGGGTTCCCTGCAAGATAAAGCCTCTAGTATAGACACACACCTGGTCGAAGTGATAGCCACAAAGAAAGCAACCTTTTTGGTTTAGGGCAGAAATAGGAATGCCTTTAGTAGGCTCAAAGAAAGGCCTTTAAAGCTTCAATTCTTAGAAGGGATTTGAAAGGGGAAGCCACGTAGAAGATCCCTTAAACAAATGTCTTGATCAGAGAGTGAGGGGCTAGCTGTCTTTGAAACAGAGCAGCTAGAGCAGAAGTTTGGCCCATTATTGTGCTAAGGGCCAGGTGTTGGTTCAGGCTCCACTTTAGAAAAGAAAGGATCAATTCCACAGCGAAACTGGGTAGAAAGATCTTGGGTATGGAAGACAAACTTCGGGTGGTGTCCAATGGTATACCTTGCGGTAAGTGGACTTCAGAGCCTTAAAGTGTAGTTCTAATTTTGTAGTCACACAGCATACCTAAGATTTTTTTGTAAAAATATATTTCATACCTTTTAGATACTTAACCAGAGAAGCGTATTTTCCAAGCTACTTTGAGGAGTTTGAACGTGAAAGTAGGGGGTTAAGCCGAGGGACAGATTAAGCTTCTTCTTGTTAACATACAATGTTTACAAAGTCTTTAATCCTTTGTTAGGACAGACAGTATTTAAATCTAGTTTACATCGTATAACGAAATTTCCCTGCCCTATAGACACAGAGTTTATTAGGGTAAACATAACTTCCCACAGCCCTCTCACTATTACAATTGGAGGGAAGCTCGATAGTATTTTTAAGCAAGCACTAAGCACTTAAAAATGTAAGCAGCAAATTGTACATATTTTTTAAGTTATGCTATGTGAATGAGAACATTTAACAAATATAACATAGGTATGAACTCAATTTGGCTGCAAAAGAGGTACTCAGGTACTCATTGATGGCCCTCTACTGGTTGAGCAGACGCTGCATTGCCAATGCCGAGTTCCACTTGGTGGGCATGTCACAGATCAGACGGTTTGTGGGAAGGTGGAATTCGCTTAGAATTTCGGCCAGACGAACACTTGCCGGGTATGACTGCTTGAAGTGGCTGCAGACTTTTCTGGTCTGCCCGAGAAGCTCTGCCAGCCCTGGGTACCTGATTAGGAAACGCTGTACCACCAAATTTACGACGTGTGCCAGGCATGGTACATGCATCAACTTTCCCAGGCATAGGGCGGAGAGAAGGTTGCTGCCATTATCACATACAACCATTCCCGGCTGGCATGGTGTTAACCACCTCTGGGCCTGCCCCTGCAGAGCTGACAGAATCTCTGCCTTGGTGTGGCTCCTGTCCCCTAGACAAACCAGCTCAAGCGCTGCATGGCATCTTCTTGCCTGAGGAGCCATTGCGTAGACCCTGGAACGCTTAGGGTGAACTGCCACTTCGCCAGACAAATCTGCAGAGGACGAAGATGAGGGGGTGGAGCAGATAGACCACAGATCAGCAGCTTTTTGGAGGCGTGATGGATTAACAAGATTGACAGTATTTTCTTATATTTTATTTTTTGCAGCAGCTGGGGCAGCAAAATTTTACTTCGAACATCTGCAGCTGGTGGGCTGCTGGCAGATTCGGAGGAAGGACCTAGTACACCCATTACTATAACATCATCCCTGTCAGTGGAAGTTGTGGACATGGCATGACGTATAGTGGGGGTAGAGATCAGATGTGAGGACTGATGAGAAGAGTGGCCCTTTCTATGTTACTAATGCCAACGGGATGCGGGCAGGCAGTCATATGTCTCTTCAAGCATGTGGTACCCAAGCGGCTGATGTTTTTGCCACGCTTGATCCTCTTGAGACAAAGGTTGCAAATAGCAGTGCTGGGGTCTGCTGCACATGTGTTGAAAAACTCCTAGACAGCTGAGTTCCTGGAAGTGTGCTGCGAGACAACAGCGCCCTGCACCAGTGCAGCTCTGCCTTCTGATGCAATGTCCTGGCTGATCATAAGGCTGCCCCTGGAGGACATTGTGCCTCGTTGGGGTTGTGCCTCCTCCTCACTTTCCTCCTCTATTCGATCAGGCACCCAAGTGGAGTCAGTGAACTCATCATCATCACCCCCTATGTTGAACCTATGAGGTTTAATGTCGATAAATGCAAAGTAATGCACTTTGGACATAAAAATAAACAAATAGGCTATACAATCATGGGTATGCCGCTAGGGAAGTCAGAAATAGAAAAAGATTTGGGGGTCATTGTAGACCACAAACTGAATGGTAGCTTGCAGTGCCAAGCTGCGGTAAACAAAGCTAGCAGGGTTTTGTCCTGTATTAAGAAGGGGATGTGGCTGGCGCTAAAGCTGAATGGCCGCAAGTCAGTGAGGCTGTGAGCAACAGCCGTCTTCAAGGCACGCAGAAATAGCATCTGGGGCTCGATCTTTCTGGATTTCCCCTCTACCTTCTCTCTAACCTACAAGGAGATGAGTAAGAAGCGGCGGGGTGTCCGCCCAAAGAAGTTAACGGACTTCTTCTTCAGCCCTGACAAACGGCGGGCGCAAGATGGCGCCTGGGCCTCGCCTCTCTCGCTATCCGGGGGGTCGAGAGGTGGCTCGAGGAGCTCCCAAGCCGGTACTCAACCTTTCGCCCGGCACCCGGGAATACCATCCGCCATGCCCAGCCGATCGGACACGCCGTCCACACGCAGCCCGGCGAAATCTAAGCCGCGGCTGGAGGATTCGTTTGAGGCCCAAGATGGCGCCGGGACCTCACCCCGCTCGTCTTCCGGGGGTTCGGGCGGGGACTCCAGAGGCTTCCAGGACAGCATCCACATGCAGGCCCGACATGAGGGGAAGCCCTCGCCCTCCTTCAACCGTCCAGCATCGCCCCACCATCCGCAAGCCTGCGAGGACCGGGCCACGGAAGACCCCCCCTCCAGAGGCCCAGTCTGAGGTGAGCCCTGCATCTTCACATGACGACACGAGGGAGTTGATAATGCCAATAGATGCATACCCCACTCTGGATCAGCCCGTCTCTGATTCTACATTGAAAATGCTAGCCATCACTAAAGCTCTTCGCTCCCACCAGATTGTGTACAGATGGGGTTATCACACAAAGCTTATCATCACCAGATCTGGTGAATCTTTCTCCATCACGACCCTGGACCAGGACCTGTCACTGCTCAACGACTGGGATATCACGGCACCAGATGAACACCCACCTAAGGCGCATGGAAGGAACTCCGAGATGCAAGAGGAATGGTACACCGTGTCCCGAAAGAAGAGAGGTCAGCCGAACACCTAATCTGGCCCCTACACTGCGGCACCAATCTGGGCTGCTGCATACATATTCACCTTCGCCTCAAGTGCCTTGAGGATTCTGGATCCACTCCGGTTGTTTTACCCCCAATGATACGCCCGGTATTTCATACTGTGGCTACACCTCCTACGGGGGGTGCCCCCTTGCTTTTTACCTACCGTTCTGTTGTTCACCAGTTGTTTTTTTTGCATGTTTTGTGTTTTCTTTTTCTTAATTGGCAGCCACACAGATAGATGGCCAGATGACACCTCTGATTTTTTTGATTCCACATCTTGTGCCTTACGGACTTCCACACTTCCAGGCAGAGGGCTCATCCTACGTCCACTGGCATGGTGCGTAGAATTCTCCAGTGAGTATACTATGCCGCTGCCCATAGCATTGTTTCCCCCCTTGCCATGGCTGTAACAGTCGTCTCCTTCAATGTCAAAGGATTGAACCATCCTGCCAAAAGGCATAGCCTCTGGAGAGAGGCCACTAAACTACGAGCTGACATCCTCTGCATCCAGAAGTCTCACTTACAACATTCCAAGGCCCCTCCATTTACCCATCGGAACCATCCCCATATTTTTGCTGCCCACTTCCTGACCAAATCTAAAGGGGTGTTGGTGGCTGTGAAAGACTCTTTGCAATTTGCGGTCCTAAACCAGACCCTAGATCCAGCTGGCAGATTCGTTATTTTAGTGTGTTCCATCGAGCAACAGGTGTATACCATTGTGAATGTATATGCCCCTAATTCCCACCAGATCCGCTTTATTAATAAAAACTTTAAGACTCTCTCTCGGGTTCGTCAGGGTAGTGTTGTACTCTGTGGTGACTTTAATGTTACCCCGGATCCTCGTAGGAATCCTTCTACCTCCTTTAGCCGCCTCCTTCATCAAGAGGGGCTTTATGATATATGGCGCTGCTTGCACGCATCCGAGAGAGATTACACCTGCTACTCTCCACCTCATAACTCATATTCTAGAATCAATTTGTTTCTAGTTGAGAGGGATCTCCTCCAGGGAGTGTCGGCCTCTGCAATACATCAGATATCATGGTCGGACCATGCCCGTCTCCCTGGCTCTATCTCTGGGCCGGAATAGGGATGCCTACGTGTGGCGTAACAATATTACCCTACTTAGGTCACCCCAGAAGGCGGCACTCATTAGGGAACATCTCTCTGAATACTTCAATATTAATGTAAATTCGGTGGAAGACCCATTCTGTGTATGGAATGCTCATAAGGCGTACATACAGAGCTATGAGACAAGGCTTCTGACCTTAAACATGTTTACGCTGGAATTAAGGAGATTAAGGGGGGATATGATTTTCATGTACAAGATGTTCAATGGTGACAGCAACATTGGCAACAAACTGTTTGAGATTAACTCCATTACAAAGACTAGAGGCCACCACCTAAAGTTGGTGGAGAAAAAATTCCAGCACAATGGGCGAAGAGGGATCTTTACAGTGAGAGCGGTTAAGGCCTGGAACTCACTGCCATCGGCAGTGATTTCAGCCAAGAGTGTAGATTTGTTCAAGAAACGTTTGGACAATTTCTTGAGGGATCGTAATATCCAGGGATACCAGTATCCCTAAGAATGAGATGATGCATGGACCTATATGGGTTGGACTTGATGGACGTATGTCTTTATTCAACCCCAAATACTATGTAACTATGTCTTCGTCACTGGAGCCAACCTGGCAGTATGCTGCAGCTGGGGGAACATGAGTGCCAGTTCGTTGTGCATCACTGGCACCCCCTCCCTCTAGGATGATGTTACTCCCTTCCTCAACCTCAGAGCCAACATCAGAGCATTGGAATTGCTGCACATCCTCCAGCAACAATTCAGCTGACTCCTCCGTGCATGATGGTGAGGCTACGGCAGGAGTAGATGTGGACAAGGAGGCAGAATAAGACGCTTTGGCAGCTGCGGTGGACTGAGAACCAGTACCAGTCTGGGTGGCAGAGGATGAGGAGGATGAGGATGTCTTGGTTATCCAATCCACCAACTCTTCTGTATGTTGTTGCTGAATAAGACGGCCAGCACCAGATAGAAAGAACAAGCGTGCCTTGCCTGCAGAGGATGCAACACGTCCACAACCTCGACCATGGCCTGCGGACACAGAGGCTGCTTGCCCTCTTATTGCTGCATGGGACCGTCTGCCTGTCCTTTATGGCCTTTCTGACATGATGTTTACTGCAATAATCGACTGTTATGATCGACTGCTATAATATACCAGTATTACTGACTGCTATAGCACAGAACTTGGATATAGAATTCGGACATAGAACTAACTGTGCTATAACTCTGCTATATCTCTCTATAACTCTGCTATAACTAACTCTAATAGAACACTCTCTTTTCACTCCTGCAACACACTATGTAGGGCTGCGGTGTCAGCAGCCTTATATAGTGTGCTGCAGGGACTTAGCTGTGAGCCATGATTGGGCAAAGTCATCATGACTTTGCCCATTTATGGCTTTAAATGTGTACTGAGCCCTGATTGGCAGTCATGCACCTGACCTTTGGTCAGGTGCAAGACTTTAGCCATTTACAGCTTCAGAGGGCGCATTGCCTTGTGCGACGTTCCACGGTCGAACAGACCGCGAGCATCCCACAAAGTTAGGTGTTCGGCGAACAATCGAACACGCAGCCCATCTCTACTGATGACGAGTGGGCTTGTTCTGTGTCAGTGTTTCATAAAATTTTGCAGCCATGGGCAATCAGGCAACTAGGCATCCCCAGAAAAAGGTCAACACTGGCAAGACAGTTTACAAAAAAATGTTAAAAATCAAAGTAACCGATAAAAAAAATGCAAAAAAATAAATTAAAGTCCCCGCCCCCCAGGTGCACGCCCATACAACGCAAATAGGTGTCAAATGCGCCTACATGCAAAAACGACAATTGCGCCACACGTTACATATCGTCGCGAGTGTCAGAGTAATTGCAATAATTCTAGGCCCATCAATCACTCTTAACACTAAACTGATGAGCAGTAAAAATGTTTAAATCGTTGCCTATGGGAAATTTTGGTTATTGTAGCTTTTTCCGGTTTCACGGACACACACAGCTTTAAGGCTTGACATGTTTGGTATCAATTTACCCAGCGTGACCCTGTCTTTTATGTTTTAACAAAAAATTGGGTATTATATTCTGTTTCTGTGCACTAAATTTCAATTTAGTGTTTTTTTATGCTAAACATGTGTGATAAACATTTGTGCAAATACCCTGTGACATAGAAAATTACAACTAGCAGCTTTTTATTCTACAGGGCCTCTGCTTTCAGAAAATATATACTTGTTTGGGGGTCTGAAGCTGTTTTCTAGCCATAAGTTCAGATTTTATCATGTCTGCAAATGTAAGAAATTGCTCCTGACAGCAAGTGGTTAATCAGAAGGTGGGACCCATAACACACACTATCCCTGACACAGGACCTCCAAAGATATACTGTTCAAGAAATACTGCTGGTCTAAATATAATGGTGTGGATTTTGTAACTTCTCCAACGTGTGTAGGATTGCAAAAACATACTGGTCGGTTAAATCGCTTCCACCCAAAAGTAGCCTTGGTGTGTGTATGATACTGGATTGTTAGATTCTTCAAGCTACATCAACTTATGGGAACGGATCTACATTCCCTGTAATTGCTGTGTGTATATGAACGTTATATATGGGACCGATGACTGAAAGCTGCACCTTTACAATACAAAAGATTAAAACAAATATATAAATACACATCTAAGAACTAGACAGAGACTGACTTACTTATTACAGATAAAAATCAAGTAATTTGTAGGCACTCAAAAAAGCATTAGTTTGCCTCTGAGTATCATCATTAAAAAAAAAATCTCATACAGCAAAAGTGGAAATGGTAGCAAAAAGAGGTGGGCCAATCTTTAAATTAGATTCATTTTTATGAAAACTTGACATTAAAGATTTCTACTATTCATTGAGGTAATGTACATTTTGATGACTTCCTGCAATTTATCAAGGCATGAGAAATAATAAATGTAATAATAATCTCATATTATTATAATACTCACTTTGGCAAGCTTAAAGTGACACTAAACTCAGGAGTTTATTCTAAAAAATGCATTTAAGTACCTTAATAGCAAAAATGTAGCTTATTTGTGTATCATTTGGCTGTAGATCCTCATATCATCTCTGAATTCATGCTGACTCTGTCCTTCCTTCTGAAGGGTGGCTACTTTTGTTCCCCAAGGTTCCTGTGTGTGTTGTAAAGTAGACACCACTCCAAGCTCTCTCCTGTGATGGAGTACAATCTCACATTTAGTTTTATAATTTGTATTGAGATTGTAGGTCATCACAGGAGCAAGCTCGAATCGGTGGCTACTTTGCATAAAAAACACAGGAACCACGGAGAACCAAACTAGCCAATCTCCAGAGGGAAAGACAGTGTCAGCATGAATTCAGAGATGATTTGAAGCTATTCGTCAGAGTGATACATAAATGAGCTACATATTTGTTAATATAGGAGAACTATGAGGTGAGTGAAAATCACTAATCCTCATAGTTCGAATCGACGTGTGACAATGAAACTGTCACACGTCGGCTCAATAGATCGGGAAGTGAGCGAACGCATACCGTCGTTCGCTCACTTCTCAATCATCTCCCTGCAGAGAGCGGTGACTACCAGTCACCACTCCCCGCAGGGATTCCACCCTCCCCGCTCCGATCCTCCAGCGCTGACTGGAGGAATGGACGGGGGAGGGGCAGGCAGAGCCAGCTCTCATTCACGCAGCTGAGTGGATCTCAACAGCATTGTACAGCTGTAGCTCGCGATATACTGAGCTTTGGGTCATGACCCGTGACCCTTAATATAACTATGGGTGAAAACACTAACACCATAGTTCTCTTTTAAGGTACTTGAATGCATTAGTTTAGTGTCACTTTAAAGTTTCACATATTTTTCACATTGCTGCCCTTTGTAAAATATGCTTTATAATATGTATCCATTATTCATTTTGACCACTTAAATTAACAAAAAGAACAAACAAATCACCTCAAAAATGTTACCACTCCAGCAGCAAAACATTTTGGTTGAACACTGGTTGTGACAGAAATGAGTAAAATTTCAGCAAAGCCAGTCAACGCAAATAGATTTTGATAAAGGTGCCATGTTTCTTAAGCTTCACACAGAACGTCTTACCTTTTGACAGGCTTTTGTTTAGGCGACACTGCTTTCAGTGTATGAATTGGCTCTTTTAAAGCACCTCTTAAATGAATAGTTCTGTCTTGTATAACTTCTCTTATATGTTTTATCCAGTCTTGTTTGTTCTCGATGCTTGATCCCTAAAAAAACATCATAGTAAATTGATAAAAATTACATATTTAAAAAGGCCAACCAAATTAGAACAATTCAGCTATATGACTAACACTTAACAAAACCTTTCATGCTGATACACATTACCTTGTGCATTAGAAAGAGATGGCTCAAGCCGAGACAACACATGCAATACTACCTAGGCCAAAGTGCAACTTTGTATAATATCTATTACTACAGCTCAGCTCTGACCATGTTAATCCTGTACTTGATACTAGGGATGTCCAGATACCAGTTGAGATACCAGTGCCAATACTTGGCATTTTTACGAGAACTATCAGGCTTGCAGCTGGGACCAGGCTCTGGCGCTCCACCACTGTCCTGAAACCATTAGTCTGTATTGTTTTAGAAAAACTGTCACATGACAAACAAAAATGTATCAGTACTTGTATCTGTGAGTACTTTGACAAGTATCAGTACTTGTAAAAATGGTATTGGTGCATCACTTATATATATTGATTTAAAAAAAAAATAATGCATTACAATGGGGATGCACAAATCCCAGGAGCTCTGTATGCTCCTTAAAAATGACAGATGCCTCCTAACTATTGAATTTTATTCTAGTCTAGTCCTGGAGCTGGAAAAATATCTGTACATGTACTTGTACCGAGTACGTTACTGGGTATCTGAACATCCCTACTTGATACCACTGCATTAAAAACAATGAACGTTATTTACCCCTCCATACTCATGTACATGAATACAGCCATCCTTCGTATGCAGAATTTGTATTTCCCTACTCTGTGTGGGCTTGTTACAAAGCTATAGAGCGAAAAACTGTGCCATTTTTACTACTATTTGGAAGATGTAAAATTGCAACATCACAGCCAAACTTTCATACAGTCACAGCAACATTGCTCATTTGAAACTATGCTAGTTGTAACACAACGACTTTAAAAAAAAAGGAGATTGGGGACTCTCAGATATCCACATGCAGCAAACAGTGGATATGTCAGGTTTTTATTGGCTCCTTTTAAAAGAACAAAATAGTATTTTTTGGGGGGGTATTATAGGACTATTGATGACAATGAGAGTGCATGTAAATGCATGATTGTTGATAACACTGATATAAATGTATGAAAATTCACTCTGCAAGGTGTGCATCAAGGCTAAAGGAACCCTTTACACTTTTAGGGTTAAAATGGTCGGTTGAATTCCCTTTTCTTCCCCTTTATGAGCACCATGGACCAAATACCAAGCAAAAGTCAAAGGGAGCAAGGGATGGCCAAACTGTAACCTACGCGAGTCACTCCCTGATTAAAAGTATGAGCCTGCCCAAAATGTGTCCATCTATGTCCTCCTTTCTTGGACTCCACCTCTGGAACCTATTTTCTATTTGTTTAGTGTATCTAACTCCCCCTAGCAACTGTGAGGGCAAAGAGTGGTTACATATCTGCCTTCTTGCTGCAAGATGCTGTATTATGAGATTGTGGAACACTGTTGCTTCTCCGTCTGTCTTGGAGGTAGTGGGAGAATTGAAAATCATATTTTACAAAGAAAGGCTTGATGTGAGCTTCAAAGAGATAGGAAGACTAAAACCTTTTTTCGTAGATGGAAATCTTTTCTTGGTAAGATGTCCCCTGCGGCCGATATTGCTCAAATAAGGAGCCCTTTTGAATATACTGAATGGTACTTAATCACACAACTGTCCAATAGATTAGGGGTTTTGGATGTCACCGACTGAACTGATATTTACAATTTATGTACGCGTTATGTAAGTGTGCAGATTTGCTATTTGTTTTCTGACCAGTAATTGGATTTATCTTTAATGTCTTGAGTACATTGTTTGTAAAAACAATTTGAAAACATTTTCAATACAATATGTTTAAAAAATAAATTATGAGCCAATGAATAGTCAGCTATAGGACACGTAAACCTACTCTTGATACTACTCAATGCTAAAGGTTGATCCATCCATTTCTGTAAAAACAGCAGAATCATGCTGATCAAAAAAGAATGGAGGTGAAATCCCAGACTCTGGGCTCCCAGCATCTGGGCTTAAAGTATTATTCAACTCTCAAACTTGTTTTTGTAATAATTATACCTTTATGTGGTGGATCGCAAATATGGAACACACTGGAATGTGCTTTGGTCATGCGTTCACCCAGGGATTCAGATGGAATGTCCCTGCGCAATGTTCAGTCACAAAGATCATTTGTAATGTGACAGTATATAAGATAGGTTACCTCCATTGGGGTAATCAAGCAGTCCTGTATAACGCCATACAGGAAGGTAATCACACAAGAGTCATTGTCATGGGGCAGATTAGGAAGATCTATGACCTGTATTACTGCATACAGATAAGCATATTGGTCTCCTGGTTTAGGCTCACAGAGAGGGAAAAAATATAGGATTTCAGAAAGTCTAAGTCTAAGTTACATAGTTGCATAGTCAGGTTGAAAAAAGACACACGTCCATCAAGTTCAACCTATAGAGATAAGAGGAGAAAATAAAAACCTAAAAAAGAATGCTATGCCCACAGTTACCCACTGTTGCCGGTCCAGAGGAAGGCAAAGAAAAACCCCTATAAAGCATAGTTCAATTTGCCACAACAGGCGGGAAAAAAATTCCTTCCTGATCCCATAAGGCAACCGGACATTCCCTGGATCAACAATCTCTGGTGCTTATACCTATAAAAACTCAATATCCAATAATATTCCACACATTTAGGAATACATCCAGATTTGTTTTAAAACAGTTAACTGAGCTACCTAGAACTACCTCCTGGGGGAGTCTATTATACATTTTCACAGATCTAACTGTGGAGAATCTTTTCTGTATGCAAATGCTAAACCTCTTTTCCTCCAGATGCAAAGAGTGCCCCCTTGTCCTTTACAGTGACCTTAAAGTAAATAATTTGGCTCCAAGCTCACTATATGGACCATATATGTATTTATACATGGTGATCATGTCCCCCCTTAATTGCCTCTTCTCCAGAGAGAACAATTTCAGGTCAGTTCATATTTCCTTATAGCTGAGCTCCTCCATGCCTCTGATGAGTTTAGTTGCCCTTCTCTGCACTTCCTACAGTTCCACAACATCCTTTTTGTGAACTGGTGCCCAAAACTAAACTGCATATTCCAGATGAGGTCTTACTAAAATGCTTTGTACAGGGGCAGGATTATGTCTCTCTCTCCAGAGTATATCCCCCTTTTAATACAAAAAAAGTATTTTGCTTGCTTTAGAAACTTTGGCTTGACATTGCATGCTATTATTGAGTCTATGGTCTACCAGTACACCCAGATCTTTCTCTATCATTTACTCTCCCAAACATACTCCCCTTCGAGTGTATGAAGAATGCATGTTTTTAGTCCCCAAGTGCATAACTTTAAATGTATCAACCTTAAATCTAATTTTCCAAATAGATGCCCAATCACACAGTGCATTCAGACCTGCTTGTAAGTTGGAGACATTCTGTAAGGACTGCATTCTTCTACATAACTTGGTGTCATCTGCAAAGTCTCTTGGTTTTGGCTCACAGAGAGGGAATAGATAAAGGATCTCAGAAAGTCTATGTATACGTCACACAGTTGTAGAATAAGTGTGATGGTACTTGTGGTTAGGAGAATCCTTAGTAGAGGAGTGGCGGTTTGTTGAGGGAATGTTAGTATCCACAGGCATTGTGGGTTAAGCTGTATTCCAGGGAAATGCACTCAGGAAACAGCAGCAGTATGTGCATACGTAAGTCAGCAGCCAACTTGGAAAATGCTGAGTGCACACAGGTGTCAACAGCAGTAATGAATGATGAAGAGTGCACACAGCAGCAGCAGATGAAAAAGGGTTACGTTCATGCAACAGAGGAAGCAAATGCAAGATGAACTGCCACAGTGAAAATATGCTGATAAGAGGGGCACAATTCATCCAAGATTCAGTCTGCTGTGAGATAAGAGGAGCCGCTGGAGTGCCAGGGAGTTGGCAACTACACATTACACAGATGCCAGTTGTTTGCATTTCCCGCCTTAAGAAGGGAAGAGAGCGGATGATGTAGCGAGATATGATTGGTTAGGGCAGGGCTGCACACTTATGACAGTGCACACTTATGACAGAGGAGACTATATTACAGTTTTCCAGAATCCAGGTCAAACAAATATACATTGCCCAGCAAATTATTTCTTAACATTTTTGTCTAAGCACTTAAAGTCATCATGTTTCTTAACGGCTGGCTCAAACTCTCTCAGCTCCACTACCCTTCACTTCTTGTCCAGTACAAGATAACAACGGACACTGCAGTCTCCAGCAGTAGTCCATCTACTTGCTTGGAAAAAGAAGAGGGAGGAGCAGGGAGTGGCTTCCCTTGCTGTGCCTGTGTGTTTGTAGAGACACACACAGATTATGCTACACAAGGATTGCTCTATAAGACTCTGCAAGAGCCACCTTAAAACAGCATATCTCAAATGTGCGGGACTGGGCAAGGGATTTTGATGACCCAGATATGCTGGACAAAATCCTCCGAGGCTATAACACAATCCAGGGCTATAACAACAAACGAAATATGGAGGGAGACCCAGTTCAAGATACTGTACCTCACAGGGCCATGGTCATGACATCGGGGGCGTGCCCGATCCAGGGAGATCATCGACATCCATCTGCCCGAAATGTGGGTGTCCCAGACCCACATTACATCATTGCTTGCGGAGCTGTCCCTCTATATCCCGCTTCTGTACCCAAACACTCATGTACATCAAATCCGTCATATCCTGGCAACCGGATCTGGATCCGGCCTTTTGTCTATTCTGTTTCCTGGCACCTTCTGGAGAGGGCCGGGGACCGCCGCGGGAAAAGGGCATGGACTGGGCCCATTTATGCCTCATGACGGCGAGACGATGTATAATGAGGCACTGGAACTCTCCACTAGCCCCAACGACAACAGAGATTACTACAGATCTTAAACTCCTGATGAGTAAGGACAAACTGGATGCAGAGCAGCATAAGGATACCCGTTCTACGTCTTTCTTATCGCGATGGAGGT